TTTGTTCAAGTTCTCGAACAGCACTCCCCTTGGTTCTTTTGGCAATGTATTGAAAAGTAAATAATGCAATTTGCCACGCAGAAAAGAGGACTCAAGGAGAGATCTTTTGTGTCTGACTTCCGAGTTGCTGCAGTTGAGCAATTATGTAATTTTTAATAGTCGCCATCGGAGGCCAGAGGCGGTACGCATTTTACGAGCGCAGAGAGGGGTTGCTTGTAAAAGTCAAAGCATAATTTATTATTGTCAGTCGGTAGAGGGCAACCCTCGACTATAAAATAATGGAAATCGTAAAGGGATTTATTTAGACTAATAAAGAAAAATAATTTTAAAATAGTCAAACAAAAATTTAAATAAGGACGATCAATCACGATGTCATGTTTGTATTTTGATAAAATTAATTTTTTTTAATTATTTTATTAATTTGATCAAGTTAAAGTGTCCAAAAAAAAATGGCAGCTGAAAAGTGTATAAAATGGGAGGGTCGGTGTCGGTGTAAGATTATATTTGGTGTGACGCGTGACACGTGGTGCGCTTCACGGATTTCGCTGCGGACTCACGTCCTTCGACTAACTCACTCCAGGACCTTTTCCGGACACATTCCACCCACTGCCCACCCCTACGTGTTAATTGTGGCAACTGCTCTGCTGTGACTTCTGTCCATTCAACTTGGCCACTTGTACGTGGGGTGAGCGGAAAAATGGCAAAGAAAACTCGCAAATAAAATATGACTGGCCAGAGCACATGGGACAGCGCACACATAAACTTCGAATAGCTGGGGGTTAAGCATTTTCGGGAAAGCGTTTAGTGCTCGATGCGCCATAAACTTGTGGATTTAACTAGCTGACCAGAAAGGAAACAGGACCAAGGGTCGTTTTCTTGTTTCTTAGTTCTTTAAAATTTTAAAGGACAGCCATGTGTAAGCCAATACACAACAATTACAACTTTAAAAACTTTTTGAAAAAGTACGATAAAAATATTATTATTTTTTTTTATCATACACTTATACATTTTTTTATAGAAACGAATTCTTATTTACAACTATAGAATTTAAAAGCCGAAAGATCAGACGGAATAATGACATACAATTTGTTTAAAAAGAGTTTTAGAAGATATTCGCTGTTTTCAAATTAGTAAAAAAGAAAATAACCCACACCTTCTAATCGTTTTAGTGTGATATCGAAATTGTTCCTTTAACGTATTCAATTAGCGTTGCTGTTTCTGGGGATAAGTCCCCCGCTTGAAGGACACTTGTCGGCACCTCCCCAAGCGGATCCTCTTTACTAGTCAGTAGCAGTGACCTTCGGTCATTGCCCCATATTTGAGATAAAAAACAAAAATGTTCCGAGTGAAAAACGAAAAACCGGAGACCATCAACATCAGACTGAAACCGAAACCATTCCCGACCGGAGGCTGCTCCACTTGAGTTGCGCTTTTTCAACTTTGTTCGCGGACTCTTTTATGACGGTGATGAGGATGGACTGACCACCAGTCGGCTCACTGGCTAGTTGGGTTCGCACTACTTGAAATGAAACCGCAACTTAATAATTTTTGCTTCTGCGGCAATTAAAAATTTTTACCTTATTTGCTCCAGTTTGCCAGCGTTTTTATGTTCGTGCTTTTCGGCGGAGTGGAGCCAGGACTTGTTATCTGTTTCAGTTGTTGCCCCAGTGCAACATTTTGTGCATGGTCATTTACTTTTCGCCCCCAGCCGCTTCAGTCCGCCAAGTTGCGATGTTACTAATTAAAAACGCAAATGGGTTTATGATGTTGCACAAGTTGCGGTCGCTTTGGGGGCGGGGGTATTATTTTTTACTGCTGTCGCTGCGAAATTGTAACATGACAAAAAATCTGAAAAGAAGTTATAAAGAAAAGCATAAAAAGAGCGTGGCATTAAAACAAATTTTTGCTCGGTTTTCTTTTTTTTTTATTTCGGGACAAATACAAAACAAGTCCTGCTGGGTTCCCTGGGTTTTCCAGCTTTTCACCCTTGCGGTTGCTTGCGGCTGCTCCCTTTTGTTGGGTTTTCCGGCCCAACACCCCCTCCTGCTTTCTCCGTGCTCCTGGACCTTTTCCGACTATATCGCCATCCATCTCGGTGGTCTCCTTGCCGGGAATGGCGGACTCCTCCACGCTTTTCACGCTTTTCACATTGCTCTGGCATGTTTTGTGTTTTATTAGCGTGAAAATTTTTCAAAGGTGTCAGCACTTTTTACGTTCTTGTTTTTGTCGTTTTCGTTCTTCGTTTGTTTTTCGCCTGTTTTAAGTATTTCCAAGAAGTGGGTGACTTTTTTTATTAAATACTTTGTGAAATTTATATTTGTCACAGCACAAATGAGATGTTAAGTGCCACAAAAGGAGGAAAATGTATTCCCGGAAATTTTTGAGGCAGAGTCAGCTTATTATGGATGACTTTAGTTTCTAATTTTGCAGCTTTGAAAGTGTAATAAATTATTTATGGTTACTCTTTGGTTAATCCCCAGCAAAAAGGGAATACTATTAGCCGTTAGTTTCCCATTAAAGATTCCTCCATCGGCAATTCCCTTAATGGCCAACAGCCCCAAGCCCCAAGGCCAAAACCAAACCCAAGCGAACCGAGCTGACCGGAAATCCCCAAACAGCACGAGCCGCCCCCCGACCACGCCCCTGGCCTGCCATTATGTAATATCCGTTGACTATTATTCTAATTCATGCCGAAAATTAAAAAGCTGCCTATGAGCCCCTGACCAACCCCAACCCCAACCCTGATCCCTTTGCCGACTTGTTTTTGTGCCAGTTCAGCGAAAATTTCATGCAAAATAAAACCCAAAAAAAGGAAGAACCAAACCGAAAACGCCTTTTTGAATAGACGATGGCATTATGTTGCTTTTGGTGGGCTCTTGCCATCCTTTCCCGTTTTTGTATTCAAAATAAAGCGACCGCATCAACGAAATATGAAATAGCACAAAAATAATATTCAGTCTGTGTATGGAAATTGAAAAAAATTAACATATAAATTAGCAAAGCAGACAAAATGTATAGGGGGCGAGGTTTCTAAAGGGAAAGACTCCTTTTGTTTTGAAAACAATTTTCGTGGCATAAATTTACGGCTGGCAATTAAAAATATTTTGTAATTCTTCTTAGCTAAAATCGGGGGTGTATAAAAATAGAGGGAAAAAAACTTTAATTAAATGTGAAACAATTTATAAAACAATAGAATTAAGGAGGATTCGTAAAGTAACTCTAATTTTTTTTAATCTAATTTATGTAATAAAATAGTTCAGCGCTGCAAGCATAAGCTTTTTGTTGAAAATTAACCATACTTTGCCTTTTAAGTGTAAAGGACAATTCATTAACTTTATCTATACCCATTGAACTCGATCTTCTTGCACCTTAAATTTAAAGCGATAACCGCACATCCTTGGCAACTTTCTGGCTTCCCGTTGTCCTTAACTCGGTATCCACATATTTACGGCCGCAACAATGTGCGCCTTGTGAAACAATTTATAACTTTTGCGCTCTTGCCTAATAAGTTGGCATGTTGTGGCCAATAAGTTGCGGCAACAGCAGCGGACATGCAGCGGAACTCGTTTTGAAACTAAATTACAAGTACAGCAGCAACAACAGTCGCCGGCTGGTGGATATAGATGCCCCACCCCTCCACCCACTTTCGCCCACTTTCATCCCACTCCCCCTTCGTCCTTGCACACCGATGCACATCTTGCCAACAAGTTGGGCGTGTTGTTGTTGCCTTAACTACTGTTAATTCTTCTAATTGTGTGTACGTTGTTTGCGTGCGCTAATGTCGCATATGCACAAGCAGCAACAACATCAGCAACATCAGTTGAAGGCATCCTGCAGGACGACAGAAGGCAGGAGGGAGGATGGAGGAGGGGAGGGCAGAAGGGGCATGCAAATGTGCAACTGCTTATGCCAGAGCGAACTCAGTTTCTCCCTCCTAAAAACATCTTGCGATGGGTTCGTGAACGAAGCTTCCAAGCTGGCTAAAACATCCTTTTCCAAATTGGGAAATATGCATTTTATTTGCAATAGCCATTAATAAAACAATTGTTCATAAATTGTACATATCTTCGTTATAGACAAAAATAAGTTGGCAAAAACTTTAGATTAAATAGTGGTAAATAAATAATTGTGAATCATACTTAAAACACAAATATTTTCGTATTTTTTTATGAACTTTTGTAAATTTTAATTTTATGTATTTATTTGTTATTATTATTATTAATTTTATAATACAAATATAGTAGTAGTAACAATTGTAAAAATGGCCAAGAAATAATTTAAATTAAATTAAATTATTTATTCTCCCAGTGAGCCCGGTTCGTGTCACGATATGAACTCCATTACATCGCTTGAGATTTTTGCAGAGTGGCGCATCGTTTGACAACTCACATGGTGGCAGCAGAAGTGGGGTCTGTGGGGCCAGGGTGACCCTGTCCCTTATTAGCGCAAAACGCTGCACGTTGGGAGCGTGTTTTGGGGCATGTGTGCGTGAGCTCGTGTATTTGTTATTGTTGTTAAATGTAATTAAATTATGCAGATGAGTGCCATGCGCTCCCTTTGCAGCTTCAGCTCTGTTTCTGCCGCTGCCGCATTAACTAAACTGCCATGGAAAAGTGTTTTTAGGTATTTGCATTTGACACCGACAAACAGTTGCCTGGTGCGCTAGTTTTCCCAAGTGCTGGCGGGCGGAATCGTTGGCAGATTGCTGAACAAGCTGTTGCAAAATGTTAGAAAAATAGAAATGAAAATGGAAAAAAAAATAATTCCAGTTGGCAGCGGTGGGATTCGAACCCACGCCTCCGAGGAGACTGGTGCCTTAAACCAGCGCCTTAGACCGCTCGGCCACGCTACCCCTTTGCATAGAACGGAAAAAATACTCATTCAAAAAGAATTAGCTAGCGGTACATGTACTGCTAACCCAGATAACGAATAAAGCAGCAAACAATTATGTATATACATTTATCTTACGCATCCCGCACAAATTTAAAACACATGCCTTCTTTATTGTTAAGTTTGTTCTTTATTTGATTTTATCCTCTAGTTCTTGAACACTGTTGAATTTTCCATTTTCTGCGCATTTGCGGTTATCCATTACATCGAGAGAATTCCTTGCATGACTTCATCTTGCTTCACTTCTTGTTTTAATGATACGATTAGATGCTGATCCACAAATTTGGTTTGTTTTAGGCTAAACTCTATGTCTTGTTTATATGCTTATACCATTTCATATGGTTTCGTTTGTTTAACTATGCTTGTCCCTTGTAATTTGCTTAAATTGTAGTTCGAATTGATTTAATTTATTTATAGTTGTGTTGTCGTATAGCTAGATGAAAGATCTGGTTCGCTATGAAATATGAATATGAAATTTGCGTTTGAATAAGTTTTCAATTACATATGGTAATCTTTGTTTTTTCATTTATTTGTAAGTTACTTTTAACTCCCTTGTATTGGTTTTGCAATTTGTTCCATTAAATTGTTAAATATGTACAATCGATCAAAGTGTGGCCGACTCGTTGCAGTGAAAAAAGAAAATCAAATCAAGTGCTGAAATAAAAGTCCTCAGCCAAGGCTGGAAAAATGATAAACACACACAATGAAAACAATGTGAAATGTATGTTTTTTTTTCGAGCATAGTTACTTTTTTTTTATTTACACGTATAATTCGTATATATAGATTTACTTTGTATTTGTTTATATTGCATAAATTGCTTATTCATATTTGTGAATGCGGCGTAGATTCTATATGAATATTGCGGAGTTTTCAATAGTATTTGCATTTTACACTGTGTAAACATCTTCTTTGTTTATTATTCCGATGAGTAGTTTATTCTTTACTGAGTCTATTAACTATAAAAATCTGTTGTGTTCTATTTAAGTTCTTGCATATTTATTTCGTTTTTGTTTTAGTCCTTTTATTTATTATTGGAATATTTTTGTGAAAGCGTTAGGCTAAATACATACATAGTTTTAATGACTGGTGCTTAAGCGCTTAGCTTATTTGTTTTTTAATAAAGTAAAATTAATTGTTTGCTTAGTTTTTTTTTTTTTTTTTTTTGTGTGGTTTTGAAGTTTTATAGATATTTGTGGTCGCGCCTAAAAAGAAGCTTCTAAATATGTACAAGAATTGAAACGCTTTTAAGCTTAACCTAATATTTAAGATCACTGGTATGCAAATGAAATGGCCGTGCAGCAGGCTGGTCGACTGCATTTTAGTTTAGCACTTGACCAACCCACAGTGCCTGCCAAATTGTGCGCAAGATTTCCTTATATACACCTGCGTTTTTCCTGCGCTTTTCCCGCTCGACAACCTCCCGAACTAAATCCTAATTTATACAAAATGCTTTCGCTTGAATACACGTAACGTAGGAATATACAACTAGAGTATGAATATTCAGGATTGCTCTGATTTTCGTTTTTGCAAAGAGTGTGTTTCCTTGATTAATGTCAAATAGCAACAACTCTTTCCAAAAGCAAAAACCAAGGCAGGCCTGATTAAATTAGAATGAACCCCTGCTCCTTCGCTAACTTCCTCATTGACTTAACCCTTGTAGAAGTAATGCAGCTCGATATCCGGATCCGGTCTGGTTTTGATGATGGTGCGGCCCAAAGTGCCGCACGTCTTGGCCGGATATCAGTGGTACCGCCTCAGGCTCCCGTTGTTGTTGCCCACTGCCACGCCCACAACGCCTACGCCCCCATGATGATTGTTGTTCGACAGGGTGGACACATTGTTGTTGTTGTTGTTGGTGTTGAAGGATCTGCGTCCGGTGGTGTTGCCATGGATAAGCGCCATGCCCACTCCATTCCTCAGCGGCAGGGCGGGGGGCGGCGGAGTGGGCGTTGGACTGGGCGGCAAGTCATGATCCAGCGGCAGCGAATAGTGTGAGTTGTTGTGTATATATCCCGGCTCAGACATCGCATCGCATGGCTTGGCATAGACTCCGCCATAGTGGTGATTGTGGTGGCTCTGGCTCTGGTTCTGGTTGTGGTTGAAGTGGTCCTGGGTCAAACGGATGCCATTGGCAAGTGGCTGGCTGTAGTGCGACAGGGTGCTCTCCTGCACCACCGGCGATCGGTGGCGCGGCAGCGAGGTAGCATTCAGTGGCTTACCGCCGTTGCAGGTCAATAGTCGCATGTCCTGCTGCGAGTGGTGCATCTTCGAGGTAGCCGGCTGCTGCTGCGGCTGCTGCGTCTGCTGTTGGCCATTGTTCGTCATGTAGTGGATGTGGCTGAGCTGGGCGAAGGAGTTGGAGGCCTGGTCCACGGCACTGGGCACCTGCAGCTGCGGCACAGCCCCGCTGGCCGTGCTTGCAACACCACCACCACCCCGACCCCGCAACTGAGGCGGGGGTGGTGCTTCTAGCTATAGTTCGGTGACCGGTATCGGCCTATTGCTGCCGCCCATATAGGGATATCCGCCGGCTGCCGGGTGAACGCCTCCACAACCGGGCGGCGGCCTGGCCATGTACTCCTCGTCGGAGAAGGTCTTCTGGTACTCACGCTCCTTCCTGCCCAGCGCTGAGTGCCCCTTCAGCATCTCCCTAATCCGACGGCGACAGGTGTACAGCACCAGGGCTAAGGTGGTGATCAGAGCGGCACAGGCCACCACCAGGATGCCGATGATGGCCTGCTTGCTGGCCGCTCCATGGGCACAGCCCAAGAGGGGCTCGGCCAACTGGGCCAGTGGCAAGTCCCGCAGAGCCGTTGGATAGGCACACACCACTGGGGCGTACTGACCACTCGCATTCCTGCTGACCAGCAGGTGACGCAGCCACAACAGCCGGCAATCGCACTCGAACGGATTCTCCGAGAGATCCAGGGTTTGCAGATCGGCCCACGGCACTAGACCCTCGTCCAAGCTGCTCAGCTGATTGGCCTTCAGCACCACAGTGCTCAAGTGGGGCAGGCCACCCAGGGCGATGGCGGGCAGTTCACTCAACTGCTTGTTGCTGGACAGATTCAGGTGCTCCAGATTGGCATTTGCCCCGAAGGCGCCGCTCTCCACGCGCCTCAACCGCTGGGCACCGGTCAGCTCCAGGTGCCTCAGCTCGCGCAGACCCGCAAAGGCACCCATGGCGATGACCTCGAAGTCGTTCTGGCCAATGTTCAGCTGCTCCAGACGTCCCAAGCGCTGCAGTGCTGCTGTGGGAATCGCAGCCAGGCGATTGTCCGACAGATCCAGGTAGCGCAGGGCCTCCAGACCCTTGAACGCCTCCCCCGAGACGTTGTGCAGGCCAGCTCCACGCAGGTCCAGCCGGGTCAGTCCCTTCAGATCCTCGAAGGCTCCGCCCGGAATGGTCATGAACGAGTTGGTGCCCAGGTAGAGCTCCGCCAGGGTGGGCAGTGCCTGGAACGTTATCTCCCCCGGCACTGTGGTTAGGGTATTATCATCCAGATAGAGCACCCTTAGGTTTACGAGTCCATCCAGGGCATGTGGATCAATGTGACTGATGCGATTCTGGCCGAGATTCAGCTCCGCCAGCTTGCCCATGGGCGAGAAGGTGCGGTACTCCAGTTCGGCAATCAAGTTGCCCCTCAGATTCAGCACACTGATGGTGGACAGGCCCAGAAAGGTCCTGTTCGACACCTGGCCAATTTTGTTGTGATCGAGGTGCAGCTCCTGCAATTTGGCGTGATACGCAAACGATCGTTCCGGGATGGTGACCATGTCGTTAAACGACAGATCGAGGAAGGTGAGCTGCGCATAGAACTGCATGGACGAGTCGATGGTCTTCAGCTTGTTGTTCTTGATCACCAGTCGCTGGATGGCGGGATTCAGGGCGATGGGCAGGACATCCAGAGTGCCCTCGCCGCAGTTCACCATCAAAGTGTCGTCGTCGCATTCGCAGCCATTCGGGCAGTTGGCCAGTCCCTGGGCCAATTGCAGAGTGGCCACCGCCAGGACCAGGAACAGGCCCATAGCCTGGGCCAACGACATGGTAATTGGCCGTCGTCTGCTCATTACACGCTGCTCGCTGTCTTCTGGCTTTCTTCGCCACTCGTCGTCGTCGTCGTCGACGATTCGCTTGTGTGCTCTCCTTTCCACGTTAACTATGTTCGTTCTGGCCAAGTTCGCCAATGGCTAGAGCTCTCCAGTCCAGACTCCGGCATTCGCCTGCAAATGGAGGGGAGACAAGCAAAAAAGGTGCGGGGTTAAATTGATTTTCCATTACAGTTCAAAATTGCTTAGCTCTTGGATTTCCATTGGATTTGGCAGCTGCAGAGCAATCGCATTGCCCATTGCCCATTGCCGATTGCCCCCGTCGGGAGTTAATCGGTAGTTTTGTGGACTGCCCCCCGAAAATGTGCCTCCATTTGGCTGTCGGGCAGTAAACAAATGAAGACAATTTAAATGGCCACGGTCTGGACATTAGGAACGGAATTAGCGGATGGCTAAAAGCAAATGGAAGTTGTTGCAAGTTTCACTTTAACAGTCTGTTTCGGGCTTAATGGCTGCCAGGCAGTTAGCCGAGAAACTCTGGGGTTGGACTATCGATTGGACGGCATAGCATGGAAGCAGATTGCCATGGACTCAACTATTTGCCTAGAAATTCTTCATTAAATCTGTTTGTGGTGCTCTAGGATTTACCCTTGTTTCTGTTAAATAATTTATTTCAGTTGTTTGTTATAAATTTCAGTCGGAATCATATATTTCTTTTGTTTGGATAGTTAACTATTTTAATATTTAATATACCAAAACCTTTTCTTATACAAAACTTTAAGATTGATTTCCACTTTAATTCCAGCTGGAAGTGCTTTAATTATTATACTCGAAACCCACCCAAGGCGGCACACATGTCAGACAATGGGCCAACCCCAGCAACCCTTTGTGTCAACTGGCAGGTCCCCAAAGTCAGACCCTGGCCCCAAAAGGCCACCCCCCGTCCTCCCTCTTTTCAGATACCACTTCCCAATGGATCCCCAAACAGGCCAAAGATATGCCGCATAGTTGGGGCCAAACTTAAAAAACAACTTGCACTTTGTTTGCTTTGGGGACATTTATCAGCTTCGGGGCTGATGGGCAGCCAAAAGAGGGAGGGGGTGGGATCTGGGGACGACTGGCAAAACAAAACTTAATTTAGCGCGGCAACTGAGAGAAGTTCAAGGATGTGGGGCTCACAAAAAGGATATCGGCACTGGGCTCCCCAAACGGGCCATAAAATAAATAAAACAAAAGCGAATTTCTCTTTTTTCCTTTGTTGTTTTCATTTTGACTGAGAGATGGGGTTGAACAGACAAAGGATGCTGTGTATGCTGTATCGTCCCCCTTTCATATTTTTCAACTTTTACGCAGTGTGGGCGTGGCCGGGCCCCAAAGGCGCTATGAAAATAATCATAGATGTGGGTCAGACTTCAGAGCGGCGGAGTGCTGCAAAGGATATAACTTCCGAAACTCTCGCTTTTTATTATGTAAATATCACATAAACACCCGGGAGCAGCCTTCATATGAAGTAAGGCCGCAAAAAATGGCACTCGTCGAGGGTCCTTGCCGGCCTTATCCCGCTCCCAGTTCCGACTCCTCATCATTATCATGCATATGCCATAAAGCAACTTGTTGAGACTGGGACTCTGCCTCGAAGAAGAACAAACAACCGACAACATTTTCGGTCGAATAAAAACAAAAACTGAGAAGTTTGCGCTCCATTGTGCGCTCCTCAGCTCAGCTGCTTGGAATGCATATGGCTGATGATGATGGAATGGGAAAAATCATATTTAAATTGCTAAAATCCTATTTGGCACCAAAGGCTGTGAGATGAGGTGGAAAACGGAGAGTGAACAATTTAAAAGAGTTCCTGATAGGTTTCACTTAATTCAGAATAGTAAATGGCTTGTAAATCACAATGTTATGGTATTTTATTGCTTCTTTTGAGCTTTAATGCTTCCCTGCCTTGTGTGAGTAGTCGAAAAAACTTTAAAATATATTTTAAAAGCAGTTATTTAAAATTGAAGTCGACGAATACTTAAAAAAGTGATTTACAAATAATTGACATTATTCTTACTTTGCTTTAGAAATTTATATCTTTTTAAATATTAAACAGAAGTATTCAACATCTTTTTTTCTCTTAGTACTTGTTTAAACTTTTAAATTTGTTTTTTCATTTTGATTTTAAGTAACCTGCTCAACTTTCCACTGGGTGCAACTATTTAAATTGTCACTCGCATGAAAGTTTCCTTTTTTTTTCCTTTTGGACACTACAATCCCCATCCATTGAAGGTATGCTCTTTATATTTTATGGTCTGCCGCTGAGATTTTATTTGGTAGCCTTTGTTGCCTTTTTAGGACGTTTTTATTTGGTTTGCTGCTGTTGCTGAACTCATTTATTAGTTCCGCTCGTGTCCGACTTGCACTTTTTGACCCCCCTCGGTCACTATTTCCCTTCTGCCGACTATATCTTTTTGGCCATTGTTGGAAAATGTTTGCCCGTCGGTTGAACTTTATACAGTGTGAGAAAATCTTAAATGCTATTAATTAGCCAAGAAAAGTTTGGCACTTAAGCTCTAAGTTAAATATATATAAAGTGAAATAATTTTGGTTCAAATAAGTTTATTTTCCAATGGTTTCTGGTAATGAAATTATTATTATCCTTTAAAGTTATTGGACTAAAAAGGGGCAAGATTATTTTTTTGTGTAGCTGTGAGTCCAACAGCCTTGTGGCCATGGCCCATAAAAGTGGGAGGGGCAGTTAGGGGGTGGTGGGTGGACAAACCTCTTTTTATTGTATCTGTCTGGTGCCGTTTTCTGTTCCGTCTTTTGTCGGTTTTTGGTCCCCGGACTTTGGTTTTGCTTTTGCTTTGGCCCAGCACTCCGACTTCCGCTTCACTTCCCCGCCCACGATTCGACCACCCCCTTTTAACACTTTCTGCTGTTGCTTTTTGTTTAGTCTAGAGATATTCTTTTTTTGCTTTTGAAAATTTGCCAGCACACACAAAAAAAAAAGAGAATCATTTGCCACAACTTTTCTGTTGCAGTTGGTGGAAATTGCTAAATAAAAGCATGTTTCTGATTTAATGGTAGAGAAAAGAGGGGAAATGGAAAGGAGCGGGGTATGCTGGCAAGTACAGTTGTGCCCGTAGCCAACTCACTTTTCCCCTTTTTTTATCTGTGGCTGGCAAAAAGTTTGACGGTGCTTAAAAATAGCATTGGAATCGACTGGTCGATAATGGTTTCCAGGTTTCAGCTGGCCTGGCCCAATTTCCTTTTGCTCCCCTTAAAAAAAAAACTTGCTCAACTCAAGCCATCAACGTCGGCAATAAACTTCAACTTTGCCTGTTTGCCAAATGTTTAATATTTCAAAGTAACGCCAGCCAATATCCTAAAATCTTAAACCAGAAACCTCCAAAGGCCCCCAAGTTCCCCCCTTTCCGCCCTTTTGCCCTGGTTTCACCCCTTCCCTGGGCGTTATTTATATGACAATTTCGCTTGAGCGCGCGTTAAAATATAGCCGACAATATTTTATGCTCAATGCCTTGGCTCATGTTTTGCCAACAGCCAAGTCCTGCTGATCCGCCCCCCTATCCGTACGCTATGATAAACTTGGCAAATTTATCCTGCTTTGTGCCATACGTCTTTTGGCACAGTTTACGCTCAAGACCGCTTCGAAACCCCCCCCCCACATCTCTATTTGCACTATTTGCACAGTTTACAGTTTCAGTTTTTTAGCTGTGACTTCGAGATACTTTTTGTATGCATCTGCGAGATACTTTTTCCTGCCGGTGCGGGCACACCAAATATTTGCCATCGCAAGGAGACAAAACAAAGAAATGACAGCCTCACGCACAGCCAGCATTGAATTGGAAGAGCGGTATTTGGGGCACCACCAAAAACACCAGCCCACGGCACCACCCACCACCCACCCAATCAGCCACCAACTTTTCCGACTTAAGCTAAAGCTGCAGCTGAAGCTGAAGGCTGTGTGCCAGTGAAAGTCGCCGCGGCAACAGCCACTCGTCTGTGAAATAGAAAACGAAACAATAGACGACGGGTGGTTCCTGTGTTTTGAGTGGGCCGAATAGGTGGGTGGGGTTTTTGAAACAGGTTCCAGAGAGTGGCCGCCAGGGGGCGCTTGCCAATTGCGCATCGTCACACATGTTACTTCAATTTTCAGTAATGGTAATCGGGCACAAGTTTGCCTTTTGCCGCACTCCCATTCCCATTCCCAATCCCACTTCCAATCCCACTTCCAATCGGCAATTGAAACGGGCTTGGGCTTGGATTTCGATTCGGAATTTGGCGCACGAATTGAACGCTTTCTGGTCCCCTCTCTTTCGGCAGCTGATTTGTGCTTATGAACCGCAAAAGCTACATGGATATGGAGTCGATGTGATTCGAGAGGCCATATAATCAGTGTGGGGTAGCTAATTTCAGAGGGAAATCACTTTTAGATAACGAACTCGGCAAAGAACCACTTGCTCTGGGTAAAGAAATTGGAAATGAGGTGACCTCAATCGAGCCTCTTGTACATTGTACATTAATTTCCAAAACCCCCCAAAGAAATGCTAAGGAAACGTTAGCTGTGGTGTAATCAAAGTATACTTCACATGGCTAAATTGGTAGGTTTTAGTTCCTTGCTTAGTTGACCCCAATGTTTAGACAAGCTATCATGTATTATTTAGAATCCGTCAAAATCTAAAATTGCTTAACATATTATAAACATAACAAGATAACCCAATATCGAAACAGTCTGTTAAAGTTGTTGGTTAAAAATTATTAAGCATCAACATAGGGATCTAAGTTTATATTTTCTTAGTTTATTATCCAAAAATTATTTTGTCAACTTAATGTTGTCTACAAAAATGGCTTGTGTTTATTCCACACCTGATGGGGATTCCCCCACTTGGCATTCCCAATGTAATCCTTTGCAAAGTTCAACACCCCGAAATGAGCGGTTAAAGAGGCGCCCCAGTGAGCTGGCTCATTTGTTGGTCCTGTTCTGGTTCTGAGTGGAGACGAGATGAGGTGGGTGGAAAGTCCCTCGCCGGCAATCTCCTCCATCCGCCGTAAAACCCGCCAAACAACAGGAGCAATGCGGTGCTTCGGATTCAAAAAGTATTTTATGGCTCCCTAGAACATTGAGACTAGGCGACGGCGACAGCGACAGCCACCGCTACAGCTAC